AGCCCCCTGCTCCCCGTGGACTATGAAGAGTTTGTCCGTGGCTGCCACCTGGGGGTCTTCCCCTCCTACTATGAGCCTTGGGGCTACACGCCAGGTGAGTGTAGTGTCTGGCATGATCCTGGGACAAGGCACTTGCCCTCCCTGATCCCCAAGCTCCTCCTTTGCAAAACAGAAACAATGGCAACGGTCTGTTCTGCTATAGCATATGTTTTTGTGACACAGTAGCTCATGTGATGGATGAGTCATTAGAGGCTTGATGTCAGAGTTCACATGTGATTTCCCCCAATTTGGTACTGTTTGGTCCCCCAAACAACAACAGCTAAATTCAGTTCATTAACACAACTGAATGTGGCAGAGACTGTGCTTGTGTGATAATTAGGAATTTTGCCAGTTTTGTTTCGGCCATGGTTAAAATGGTGCATAGGTTTTGTGTGACCAGCCCCAAACCTATTTTTCCTATAAGCCTTATTATATTTAGGGTCTAATTTTTTAGAAACACTTGTATAAGAATTATAATAAACTCCTTGAGGCATTTCTCAGCATTATTTAGGGCAGTGAAAGTGCTGCATACACAGTGATAATGGTAATATGAGACCTCATCTTACCTCGTGTTAAAACAGACTCTGAAGCTATGCTAACCAAAACAGTATGGTCTGGCACAAAGTAGCTTATAGTTTGTGAGAATTAACTAAAATGGTCTACATGATCCAGAGTACCCTGATCCAATAAATTAGCATTCTTATCACCCAGTTATAGACACTTCCTTACCCTAAGGACTTAGGGCAAGTGAATTCCCTTTTCTCAGCCTCTTTTTTCCCCTTTCTTCCCCTCTTATCTTGGCCTCTTAGCTTCCCCTCTAAGAAATAGGGACTATAATACTTAGTCTAATGCACACCCTGATTTTTCTGGCTCCTGGCTTGCTCCGCACAGCGCCCAGCACTTGGTAAAGGCACCAGTAGAGGGCACCATTGGAGCTTTTATTGGAGTTCAAGACCATAAAGAGGGGAAAGTTAAGCAGGCCTTTCTCACCTTCCCGCAGCTGAGTGCACGGTCATGGGTATCCCCAGTATCTCCACCAACCTCTCCGGCTTTGGCTGCTTCATGGAGGAACACATCGCAGACCCCTCAGCTTACGGTCAGAGCCCGGATTGAGTGCCAGGACTTGGATCTTGGGGAGGAGGGGTGTAGACTCTTGAGTCACTAAGAGAGGAGTGGGGTGGACTCCTGAGTCCCAGTGGGAAGACGCGTCCTGGTGCCGCAGAGTCTCAGAAAGAATGAAGGTTTCCTCAGTCTGTTTTCTGAGACCCCGTCCTGGCCCCGACAGGCATCTACATCCTGGACCGGCGGTTCCGCAGCCTGGATGATTCCTGCTCGCAGCTCACCTCCTTCCTCTACAGCTTCTGCCAGCAGAGCCGGCGGCAGCGCATTATCCAGCGGAACCGCACGGAGCGCCTCTCTGATCTTCTGGACTGGAAATACCTAGGCCGGGTATAACTCCCTTCCCCATCCTCTGCTGGTGAATCAGCCTTTCTGGGTCTCTGGTTCCTCAGCATCAAAGGCTGGCGCAAAGGGCGCGGTTAAATTTCTACTTGTAACGGTTGCTGTCCCTTTAAGAAATTAATCAACTTTGTCAGGAAGACCAACTCAAAATCCTCTATTTGCATAAGGGTGTGGCCAAAGAGGTACCTGAGTGGAGAATTCCACCTTGTTAAGTGGGTGTGACTCAGACTGTCCATTCACAGCTCTGCTTATCTGCATAAGGGGTGGGACCAGAAAGATGGATAAGATAATTGGCTTAGGTGCCAGTAGTGAACCCACCGCAAGATGTGTTTATTTGCATGAATGGTATAGCAGGGCTCAACTCACCCTTTCCAAATCTGGGCGGGAGCCGAGTCCGCCCCTGATGCCTGCTCCCTTTCTTTACCCCCTATAAGTACTACATGTCCGCGCGCCACATGGCACTGGCCAAGGCCTTTCCGGAACACTTCACTTATGAGCCCCACGAGGCTGACGCGGTGAGTGGACCCGGGGTCTCTCTAGTGGGCTAGGAGCTAGAAGGGTGGGGTGGGGTTGGGTAGGGTGTCCGGCCCTCCAGAAGGCCTCAGGAAAGCTAGACGCCCAGGCAGGCTGTAGGGAGACACTGCTCACTCTGTGGTTTGTGCCCACACCTCTGTACACAGACCCAGGGCTACCGCTACCCACGGCCAGCCTCAGTGCCACCATCACCCTCACTGTCACGACACTCGAGCCCGCACCAGAGCGAGGATGAGGAGGAGCCCAGGGATGTACCGCCCGATGAAGACGGTGAGCGCTATGATGAGGACGAGGAGGCCGCCAAGGACCGGCGCAATATCCGCGCTCCTGAGTGGCCGCGCCGCGCCTCCTGCACCTCTTCCTCTGGCGGTAGCAAGCGCGGCTCGGTGGACACAGCGCCTTCCAGCTCACTGAGCACCCCCAGCGAGCCCCTCAGCCCTGCCAGTTCCCTGGGCGAGGAGCGCAACTAAGAGCCCCGCCCCACACTCCCTGCCAGCTCTGCCTTCTTTATCCGGAGGGTGGATGCAGAATGGCACTTTTCCTAAACTCCACTCCAGATCCCTAACCCTCCATGGGGTCCACAGCCCCGTCCCCTCCACCATACACTCCAGCCCCTCTAGCCCCCCTTTTGGAATCCCCAACACTCCAGAATCCACTATGCGTGCCTTTCTTGGGTTCCAGAATGCACAATCTGTGCCCTGGAGTCTCCCAGGCCTGGCCCAAGTTCCAGAGGCCAGGAAATCTGCCATTACCCTGCTGTGGTGCCAGCGGTTTTTGGAAACCTGGTCTGTTGCCTTCCATGCTGTGGCTCCTAGAGCCCTTGACGGCTTGCTAATTCTACAGTATACCTAGCATGCCAAGCTCAGGCCTGGCCTAGGGGCCACCTTGCACTGGAAACCACATGGAGTCCCTGCTAATGAGACAATCAAGTTCAGAGCTGAGGCTTTTTCAGGGACATAATTGAATATACATCCTCCATTTCAACTCCAGAACTTGGGCTACAGGCCAGTGCACTCCTGTTTACTCTAATCTAGATCCTCCCCAGATCTAGCTCTGCCTGGAGGATTCCCTCTGCCTCCACCAGTCCTCCCCTCTTCCGCCACACTTTGGCCAAGCAAGTGGGGGCAGACCCACTTGGTTTCTCATTCCTTCTGGAGAACGTGCTGTCTTGGCCTAGATGCCTTTCTGGCCTTTTCTGGACCAGACCCAGCTCCTCCTTCTGTGCCCTCCAGGAAATCCCTCTGCTGAGGACAACTGGCTGTCTTCCCCAGCAACCCCACGCACAACCCCAGCTGCTAGACCCACCATGAAACCACTGGGTTCTAGGTCCCGGCTGCTGAATCTGGAACCTTGCCACTGCTGCAACCTAGTACCTTCCCCAGGTCTAGAACTCAGCCCACTGGATTCTAGAACCTCATATTTACCTCAAGCCTCTTCCATCCCCAAGCTGCGCCCTGCCCCCAACTTTGGTGAAAGGGAGGGGCCCCTCATGTGTGCTGTGCTGTGTCTGATGCACTTGGTTTGCAGTTGGGAGAGGAAGGGCAGAGGGAGTGTGATTGAAGTCTGTCCAGAGATGAAAAAATACAGCTATATTTAAGAATCTCAGGTCTAGTCTGACGTGAGGGCTTGGTTGGCCTCTCCCTCCTCTTTACCTCCTATTCCTCCTGCCCACCACTGGGTCCCTGACCTCTTGTCTCATCCTGTTGCCTTAGAGACTTGGATTGCCATTGGATTCCAGGGTTATTTCAAAGGAAGTCACCTCTCATTTTTGACTTAAGCAGCAAAAAGTTGGCGCAAGCTGTTTGACACAAAGGGGCTGTGTCATTGGAAAAGCTATGAACCGTATGTGACTGTTTAAATTTAAATTAATTAATTTCTTCAGTAAAAAGGGCTCAACAGCCACTGCAGCTACATGTGGCTCATGGCTACCCTATTGGACAGTGCAGATACAGAACATTTCCATCATGGCAGAAACTTCTATTGAACTAGCTTAGAGCCTGTTTCCAGGACTCTGTGTCCTCTGGACTTTGGCCCTACTGTCCACTGGATGACTGTTTGAAAACAAATATTTCTCCTTTCAGTTCTAGTCTTCACTAGGCTACATGTTCATCTCTAAACCAATGGCTTTTCAGGGGAGTAGAAAGCTCCAATTGTTTGGATTTGGACGTGTGATCATCCCTCCTGTTACCCCCTCCCCCGCCAGAAGCCCCCTCCCCCACCGGAATAACCAGCAGGAGGGGCTGGTGCTGAGCAGACAAAAGAACACATGTCCAGCAGCCATTTCCTCTTTGATTAAGACAGAGAAAGGGTAGAGGGGTCAGAGTTGACATTGTCTTGTTAGGCCCAGGAACTGCCTGCTAAGCCATCTTCAAGCTTCTTCAGTTCCCATTTGGACAATTTCACATCCTGTTTCAGTCTGAGCCCGAAAGCCCTAGCTCAGCACCTCTTTCACATCACATGCTCCCAGCTGCTCAGATCCATGTGCTGGATTCTACCTATTCTTAGAATTCGAGAGGGGTATCAAATAGCCTTTGGAAGTCAAGACTTGAGGGTGCCTTCTGGTTGCCATGCGTAACTTACATAGTAATTGCCTCAACTCACTCATATAAAGGAGCTCACAGTTCTACTCAACCTCCCAGAATTGAGCCAGAGACAGTTACTTTCAGAGCTTGGCAGAGCCTGGCAACGCAATCACTCATCTGAACAAGTTTCTAGTTACAGTCTGGTATCTTTAACAGCATCTGCTTCCAGTGACAAACCCCAGGTCTTACTAGACTCTCCCTGGAGTCTGGGTTCTACCGTCGAGAAGGGGCAGCAGGCAACAGCCGGGCAAAGCAGAGAACCCACTACTGCAACACTCCACAGGTAATAACCTGCCTTAGAACAGTAAAGAGGACCAACTCCTCTCTTCCTGCCAGCCCAGTCCAGAGATCCCACCCCATTTCTCACACCACACACACAAAACGAGCCGTTGCAAAAAGCTTTATTTCTATTTGGTCCAAGGCTTGGGAGAGGGCTCCAGGATGGTTAAAAAGCTGCCTGGTGACTGCAGAGAGGCTTCAGGCAGAAGCCCTGACACCAGAGGGGCTCTGTAAAGGCCGCTGGGTTGCAGAGGCTCCTAGTCGTGCTTGAGGGTGAGCCTTTCGAAGAGATACTCGCCCAGCCCAGCCTGGGGACCAGAGAGCCTGCGGAGGTTAGTCAGGTGGTCGCCCATCTTCTTGATGAGTTTCACCTCCTCATCCAGGAAGTGGTTCTCCAGGAAGTCACAGAGCTGAGTGACAGAAGAGAAAACCGTTGCCACTTACTGATCTAACAATGTGACAGATGGGGCAAATGAGGCTCACAAGGAAATCTGCCCCAATCAAATGAGACCAAAGCTTTAGTTAGAATGTAAGCTTGGGGGAGAGGGCATAGCTCAAGCAGTAGAGTGCATGCTTAGCAAGCATGAGGTCTTGGGTGCAATCCCCGGTACCTCCTCTTAATTAATTAATTAATTAATTAAAATTTAAAAACCCTAATTACCACCCCCCCCCCAGACAGAATATAAGCTTCATTCCAGGGAAGGTTTAAGGGTGGGCAGACGTGAACCGGGACACTTACATGTGGGTCTGCGCGGGCAGAACCCAGGGCATGCAGATCCAAAAGGGCCTGGTTCAGGTTCTTCTCCAGGGCAATAGCAGCTTCCATAGCATCCTGGGTTTTACCCCACTCATCTTGAGATGGCTTCTATACAAAAAGACAAGAGAGGGCTCAGTACAAGCCACACTCTGGAAAGGACTAAAAGCTAATAATTTTCCAGCAGCTGCAAGAGTAAAGGCTTAGCCCGAAAAAAAATTGCATCTATCATCCATCAGTGTTCTATAACTACATGTTCCAGGATACCACACGCTGCGGACTGGACTGCCACGTCTTGAGGGAACCGTGGGCGCCTCCATTTGCAGCCGTAACAACTCACACAAGACAGAACTCAATCTCCCAGAAACCTCGGCGGTACCTAAACAGCTATGGTCTAGTGACCTCCAGTGCAAGGACAGTTGGGAGATGTAGTCCGCTGCCCCACATTATTTACCTGCACGTCCTGGAAGAGGGCGCGGCCGCCGCGCTGGTTTTGCATTTTCAAGAGACGCTCCGCGCCCTCGCGCTTCTCCTCAGCCAATTCGCGGAAAAAGTGGCCAACACCCTCCAGAGCCACATCGTCGCGGTCAAAATAGAAGCCCTGTGGGAAGAGATGGCAGGAACAATGGTTAGCAAGATGTGATGCCAGGAGTGCTAACTCCGCCTTCTGAATACCCAATCGAACAAAGGCCAGCGCCTGCGCAGAGCGCTGAAGGCGCGCAGCTGAGGAAAACTTGGGCCGGGGGCATCTTGGAGACCCTTACCAGAGAGAGGTAGGTGTAGGAGGCCCGCAGATGCATGTTGACCAGGTGGTTGACAGAGGCCTCAACCTCGCTGGAATAATTCTGACGAATCTGGGAGCTCATGGTTGATCGGTAATAAGGAGTTAAGCTCACAAAACGGTGTTGGCTGGTCCCAGAGGCTGAAGATAGCACAGTGGCTGGTTCTGAAGGATGCGACTGGAAAAAAGGTTGAAGGGTGGTCGGACGTTGGAGCAAGGGGCGTCCCTGGGTCTGTTCCGTCCAAACACTGTTGAAGCAAGAGACAGATCCGCAGGACCGCCGAGCGCACTGCAAGGGGGTGGGCAAGGCGGCTTCTTTTATAGCGCGCGGGCCCTCGGAAGTGGGGCGGTCAGGGAAGGCCATTAGCCAATCTGCGGTGGTGGGAGGCGGGTCCTGGGGCCCACACATGACCAATCAGGAGCAGGGACAAGTCCCAGACCACCCCCGGACTTCGGGAGGTGGGGAAGTCACGCGCCTGTAGCGCGAGGCTGTTGTGAAATGGGGAATTGGGGGTTGGGGGGTTTCGCTGGATGCAAAGACTGTGGGGCTAATTTGGGGAAGTCAAGCGATACTGGGAGGACTCTGGTAGGTGAAAGATTAATAAGAACACTGGGAGCCCTGGAAAGTAATGATCCCTGGGTCCTGGGGCTGTCTCAGGAAAGTAGGTTGGATTCTAGGGTTGTGTCAAAGCATGTACTTTTCTGGAACCCTGGGAGTTCCTCTGAAATGCAGAAATCTCCAAATGATTGGGGTTTGCTCTGGGAGATAAGGGCGTACCCAGAGCATTGGGAAGTTTGGAAGGCTGCGAGATGTTATTTCTGGAACCTTGGGTCACTTTCTGAGAGGTGGGTTTGTTGGGGGTTCTGGAGCCCTGGGGTTTGCTCAAAGGTAGAGGGGTTTCTGTAGCCTTAGAGTTCACAACAGAAGTCCATGTTTTCCTGGAAACTTCTTAGGGGAGGTCTTTATGCCCTTGAGGTGATCCACAAGATTAAAAGGACGTGCAGAGTCCTGGGGTTCAGCCTCGGAGTTGAGGGGGGTGTTTCTGGAAGCCTAGTGGGGGCTTTTAAAAGAGGCAGGGGGTCTTGGAGAGCCCTTTGGAGCCCTGGAAAGATGATCTGGTCTACTTGGAATACCTAAAGGGCTATTTTTAGGGGCCCATTATTTTAAGGGGAACTGCAATGGGAAGAGGTGCAATGACACTGGAGCTTGGGGGTCTCTCTGGGAGGCTGCACTTCCTGGAGACTAGTTTGAAGGCAGCCAGAGACTGGGAATCCTTTTTGCTTCTGAAAGAGATCTCTCTGAAGTTGTCCCTGTTTTGTCAGACACAAGCTCCTTCAAGATGACAGAGAAGCACTGGGTCCTAGGGAAACAAGGAGGCACAGGGGACCTGTGGATGAGACATCTGTCTTCAACCAATGGACATTTGTAAGGTGTGCCCAGTCCAGGCTGGTGTCTGGGTGGCAGAGCTGGCTCCCATCAGGAGCTCCCTGTTGTTGGTTGGGGAGGGGAAGAGAAACAAAGACAGGAACTTGACCCTATTTAAGTGCCCTAATGGAAGTAACTGGTGGGCTGGGGCAGGGTAGCTGAAGCTGCTGTGGCGCTGGGGGAAGAGGTCAGGGCCTGCCTTGCAGAGAAGCCTCTCCAAGAAGTCCAGGCAGGGCACCCCCCAAGCAAGGGGATGCCAGCTAGTTCAGTATCTGGGGTCCTCAGGGGGTGTCTGGGCCAGTGGCCAAGAGAGCAGCTGTGCTGAGTCATGCTGAACTCAGCTCCGCGAGGGGCTCCAGCAGAGGGGCGGGGTGGGGCCCCACTGACTGACGTCATCTCCTCGTCATCTCCTCGGGGTGGACTACAGTCTGGCTGGGACCCTGGGAACTAGGCCTGGCTCGGCCCCAAGTCTGGCCCCTTCCCCCAAGGTGCGGCCTTGAGTGAGTTTTGACTCAGGGTCTTACTGTCTTTTTAGTTCCCTTGATGTTTTCCCTGGGCTCCCGCCTGTGGCCATCCTGTCCCCTCTCTCTGGGTGGTAGCTCAGTCTCCCCTCACGGCTATCTTATCTGACACCTCTCCCAGGACTTAGTGTCTCTGGTGAGAGTCTCTGGGGGAGGGGCCGTTGCCCCAGGCACACAGTCACAATGGGACCTGAGTTACTCATTCACTAAATTTCATACCTCAGCCGGAAGACCTTTAGCCTCCGGCAGGTTCCATCTGTGCAGAGGTGACCTGGTAAGTGTTCACAGGGGTGGGGAGAGGAAGGGGGGAGACAAGATGGTCTGAAGAAAGACAGTTGGGGGGAGCTTATGGGGTATGGGGTACAGAGACCCAGAGAGACAGGGACAGAGAAAGGGGGACGGAGACCCAGAGAGGGCCAGAGACAGAGAGGCAGAGGAACAGAGACAAGAGAAGGGGACAGAAAGAGCCAGAGAGAGAGGAGGACAGAAACAAAGAGACGGAGACAGACACAAAGGAGGTAGAGAGAGCCAGAGAGGAGACAATCGTGGCTCTCTGAGTGAACTTAATCTCTGTAATCCCCTTTTCTGATTGCCCTTGTGTCTAAATCTACTGTGAATCTTAAAAAAAAAATTTTTTTTAATGGAGTTACTGAGGATTGAACTGAGGATCTCGTGCATGCTAAGCAAGCACTCTTACCACTGAACTATACCCACCCCCTTTTTTCTTTTTTACTGTGCTTTTTTCTAAGCTCAGCATCTTTCCACCCCCTACCCTCTCCTGGAGGGTCCCACCCAGGTACAGGGCCAGACCTCAGAGCTCCTTCTCCTCTTCCAGCCCCTCCTGGCACACCCTGTCAGCCTCCTGCCTGTCCCTCTCCGGCCACACCGCACAAGCTCAGGCCTCATCTGGAATCTCCTTGGACCCTCTCTCTAGCCTCCTCAGTCTTCCAACCTCCAGGAGCTTCCCCAAAAGGCTCCAGAACCCTCCCCTCCTTTCTAGTCCTCCCAAGGTCTGCACCCCCATCCCTCCTCCCCCATTTCTCCACCTCAGTACATGTGCAACTTCCTGTGATCCCATATGGTGGAAGCTTCCAGGCCCTAGTTCCTGGAGGTCCAGGAGGCTTTCTCTGCACCCTGCTGCCCTGATCTCTAACCACCACCACCCGCCCCTGCCTACACCCCCCATCCCAGGCCCCAGGCTCCTCTGCTGGGCTTGGGCCTTGCCCAGTCCTTCCTCCAACACAGCACTCTAGGCTGCGACACATAACACACGTGATCTCAAGTTGCCCCCATCCCCCTCAGGACTGTGGGCTCTTTGCAGGCAGGGCTGGGACCTAAACTCATCACTGACCCAAAGAGGGCACCAAGGGCCCTCAGAAAAAACATGTGTCAGCACATGAAGACTGGTCTCCTGCAACAACCAGGGAGTGGCCCCAGTGACTCAGACTCATGTGTGGCCCGAAAGAGGTTTATTGCCCACCCCAGACCACTTCTCCCAATCCCACCCCACCCCACCCCAATAATTACAAAAGTAAGAAAAATGCCCATGGCCCCAAGTCCCCCCTCCCCCAGAAAAAAGCCATAATTTATGCAGAAAAGACACAGTCCAAGGCTGCTGGTGGCTTCAGCCCATCTTCTTCCAGATGGTGAGTGAGGCGGTGAGCACTCCGGCCACGAAGATGGTCACTGTCTGCCACGTGGGTGTCCCAAAATAGGAGAGGAGGCCATCCTGGGGACAGGGACATTGGGCACTTCAGCAACTTGGCCACTGGTTAGCCCCTGGGACGGCACATGAGGCATCAGGGAGGGAGAGGGGCAGGGAGAGGTCAGAGGGCAGGAGTGGGGAAAAGGGCCTAAGATTAATGGGTACTAAAGACTTGGAGTCAAAGAGTTATCATAGAATTTGATAACTGCAGGGAGGGCAGAAGGCACTAGTCCAGTCTGGGGTCACTGGAAGGTCAGAGGTCACCAGGAGGTCAGGGGTCACAGAGGTCAACAGAGATTAAATGAATCAAGAGTTGATCAGATACACAAGAAAACGCATTATAGAGCACATCTGATGATTTGAAAGTGGGGACTAGGCCTCCACTGTGGTGGGCTCAGGAAGGCTCAGGGATCCCAGAGGACTGGGGGACGGGATGGGGTTAAGGGCCTCACCCAACCACCCTGGTCCTGGATCCAGCCCAGCAGCCGCTCTCGAAGGAAGTCCAGTGTCCAGCGCATGATTGTCCTGATCAGTTCAGGCACCTTGGTGCACAGGGCCTGCAGGGAGCGGGGTGGGCCTTAGGGACCAAGCCTTGTCCTCACTGTCTGGGGACAGTGGCCCCAAGCTTCATTTCTCAACTCTCTGCCTCCCCTCCTGCCCTTCTGCAGTCTCTTTCCCACTCACAGTCAGAATGAGCTTCATAAATCACAAGCTGGATCTCATCACTGTCAATTGCCATGCTCACAAACCTTCTGTGGCTCCCCAGTACCTCTGGGATAAGCATCAAAAGCATAACTTGGCCCACAAGGCCCTGTGTGAAGGTTCTGACCTGATCCAGTTTTCTGCTTCTTTTCTGTACCTCGTTATCCTTCTTCCATATCCTTATTCCCACCAAATTCTTTCCCTGCTTCAGGACATTTGCACATGCTGGTTCTTTCGCCACAACCAAGGGAATTTTCATTCATCCCTCCAAGCTCAGGTCTAATGTCACTTCCCAGATAAGGCTTTCTGACCTTCAGACCATACCTATGACCTGCTCTTCAACTCCCTAAGCTTCCCTTCCCACCTTTTATCTGTCTGCTTCTCACCTGTTGTCCCCAGCTCCATTCAGCTCTGCCATCACCCTGATTGCTGTCCCCCTCACCTCCAACCCCATCAGCCCAGTCTTGCAAACATATCAAGAAATCGACTTCCCCACATCCACTGCTACTACCTGAGTCCAGGTCAGTCCTTTGCCAGTATGATTAGTGGTACCCAGCATCCCAGTTTTTGCCCTTGTCCCCCCAAATCCCTTTTTCTACCCACTGGAGGCAAAACAATATTGTGGGGCTTCCCCTCCCCCAATATTTGATCATGAGAATCTTCAGAGAGAAAATTTTTTAAATTTCACAGTGAACTGGCATATACACACAACCTAGATTCTACAATTAACATTTTGTCACATTTGCTAGAAAATATTTTTATAAATCAGGTCACCTCACTCTCTTGTTCAAAGCAGCCAGTCACTCCTAACTCTGAGTAAAGCTAGGCTTTGCAATGGCCCACGAGACCCCTCAGTCTACCCTCATCTCTCACCTTCTCCGCCTTCTCACTCTGTTCTAACCATATGGGCTCCCTCATTGCCCTCAACACACCAGACTTGGTCCTACCTCAGGGCTTTTGCATTTGCCGTGCCCTCTCCCGGATGCCTTTTCCCTCATCCTTACACACGTCACTGAATCTATCTTGTTATTCCAACTTTGGCTGTAATGTCACCTCTTCTTAGAAGTCTTTCCTGACCATGGTGCAGAATCACATGACTCTAGTTTATTTCACTTAACAGGCATTGTGCATTGTGGGCCCCATGAGAGCAGGGACATAGCCTGTTCTGTCCGGTGCTATGTCCTGGGTGCCAAGTATAGGTCGCACACATCATAGCCCCAATAAATGTTTGTTGAATGAATAAATGAAAGAAAAAGCAGATAACTGGCCCACAGCTGTCTCTCTCCGTTCCCTCTGTGGTTACAGGGCTGCCACAAGGGATGACCTTGCAACTCCCAGGTCCTTGGAGGTCCGAAGGGAGCCTCCTGGAGCTCACAGCCCTGCAGCTGCCCACCTTGAGCACCAGTTTGCTGGCAAAGTAGAAAAGGGCTACAACCCGGCCCCAGTTGAAGTTGCCATCAGAAAACATTTCGGCCGCCACTCGGAAAAAGACCTCTCGGGGGGAGTCTGTGTCCACGGCCGCGATCATCCTGCAGGAGAGAGGAGAGCCGGTGCTGGGGAGGAAGGATCAGGCAGAGTGTGGAAACTCTGGCGTCCACTCCATACCAAAGATAAGGAAACTGAGGCCTGAGCCAGGTTCAAATGAATGGCAGGAGGCCATCATGGGGAAAAGGGACAAGATGGACATTTAGGGCATTGGGAGAAATGACTCCCTGAAGGAGGGTTTCAAGATCCTAGGAGAGGGGAGGGCTAGGGGTCCAGAGTGCTGACTTGAGTGCTGGGGCCCTACACCCCAGGTCTCAGGGAAAAGGGGGCTGTGGGCCTGGACTCCAGGCTCCCAGGGGAGCTGGGACTCCTGGGTACTGATGGAGAAGGGGGACACTGTCCTGACTCCTGGGTCCCAGGGGCCACACCTCTGCAACTCCATGTTACTGTCCAGTTCATCTCCGATGCGCTTGAGACACTCGCTCAGCTTCTTGGTGGACGCATCCTGGGGAATCTGCTCCAGGCCCAGCTCAGGTGTCTCTCCCCCCATTCGCCCTGCTCGATCCTGGATGAAACTAAGAGTGGGAATGGAGTTGTGGGGGGTGCTGAATCAGAATGGGGCATCACTCCTTAAATCCGCTCCGCAATAATGAGACCTCAAACTCACCCCTGAAGCAAAAGGGCCCCTGTCTTCATGATCTGCTCAGAGCTGGTGGGCCCTAGAGGAGAAAGGAGGGAAGAAGTGCCTGGACTCCTGGGTTCTAAGGGATTCAGGGAAGCGGTAAGGCTCATGATCCCTGACGGAGGACAACACTAGGGGGCCCTGCACTTGTGGGTCCCTGGCAGATAGTGACTGGGGACCTGGGCAATTGAGTGCCTGATGCAGAAAGAGGCAGGGGTCCTGGGCCTCTATCTTTCATTCTTCCGGGGGAGGACGTTGAAGAAACACTTCACGCATCCAGACCCCTGGCCTGAGGGGACAGAGGGGAGACCCGCCCCTCCCACCAGGAAGTGGTGCCGGCAACAAGCCCGGGCCTGCCCGGGGGCTTGGATTCTGGGGTTCTCTAGCCTCTCGGGTATCCAAGAGCGCCAGACTGGAAGGGATTGGGACGCGGAGGCCAGAGTGCGGGACCCCCGGGAGGAGGGGGTGG